TTTAACAGGAAGAAACCTTCTGGTAGACATCTGCCACGACCTTTTGAGAGACCCGTCAAACGGCTATTGGTCATTGGTTACTGTCAATGCATTGGTCCAGCACAGCTCCATAATCATTCATACTTAAGTATGACACTACAGTTCACCACACGCCATTAATAATGGCATCACTTCTGCTGCACACTGTTGTACACGAGGAAAACCACAGCACTATCTTCATCTTTGGTGTTTAGCATATTTAATTTTGTTGTGAGCGAATATTTGTGAGTTTCCAAAATCACTTCTCTCACTGTAGTTGGGTATTCATGCCATTACTGGACTTTCTGTGCAGTCAGACACACAACTAGTGACTTTGACCAAGAACCACCTCAAATCTGTGAGTATCAGTGATCCATGAGTATGTTGGTATGGTGAGCTCACCTATGTCCAGGATTCGGTCTCCAGGTCTGTTCCACCTCCATCCCTCCAGCTGCTGGTGCTCCATGTACTGCAGTCGACGGTCATGGAAAACCACGCGCACAATGCTCTGTGAACAAGCGGGAGTACGGCTGTGAGCTGAGCACAGGGCAGCTCGCACCAAGCTAAACAGCAGGAATGTTGGGCAAAGTGTGAAAAGGCTCCCCTGTTTTATTTATACACGCACTGAAACAGGGTGTGGAGGGAGTACTTGCAGCTCCTTTCTTATCAGTTCTTAAGCAGTCAGAGTTAAAACTGTAGTCACAAAAGCCCAATGACCTGCTGTCAGTCAGGCTACATGTAATACCTGAGACATGCAGTAATGCTGGTGACTTTCCGTCTATGTGACAGAGCTCCCACAGTCTCTGCAAAACAAGATCCTCTGAGTGGACCGGTTTATGCTTCACGTCTGAGCATCCATCAGGTCAGGTCATCTGGGGCTAGGGTCTGGTTTTGTTTTAGCGACATGCTAAATTGAGTTTCAGAAGCTACAAGATGGTGGCCAAATTTAATTTGGGCATTTCAAACCTCTGAAAATCCACAAAAATGCGATGGACATTAACTAAACTGAAACCCTCGCAACTGAAAGACAATAACCCTGGAAATTTGTATGCTGTCACAATTCTGTGTTGATGTTAACACATCAATACCTACGTTCAGCTCTATGTACCTTAACCTTAAAGGCATTAGACATTTATAGTTTAATTAATTCTAA